GTTAACTTTTCACTATTTTTTTCTTTCATTTTATTTGTATTACTTTAGTAGTAGTAATAGACATAATAGTCTTAAGTTGTTTCCATCTCTTTGTTGAATAATTTTCATTATTAATTTGTGATAGATACCAAAGAAATAGTGGTGAACTTGTTCTCTTCATTGATCTTAACAGGCAAATTATTTTCTAAACCATAGAATCCATTGAAAAAGTTGTCTGCATATTAAGTTTATTTAACATTAAATCACAAAACTATTTAAGAAATTTTTGTAAAGATGTCTCCGTTAATTTGCTGAAAAGACAATATTATTCTAAGATTTATTTGGATTATTGAACTCATGTTTTGTGTTACTTTTGTTGTTATCGCAATGTTTTGGCTGATCCATTCTCCAGTCTTCTTCAGGTGTACAATCCATATGGAAGATGCCTTCCATAATTTTGAGAAGAATCATTATCATTCCAAGAGTTGCTTGTATTATTGAACTCATTCTTTGGGTTACTTTTGTTCTTACTATAATGTTTTGGCTGATCCATTCTACAGCCTTCTTCAGGTGTACAATCCATATGGAAGATCCCTTCTATAATTTTGAGAAGAATCATTATCATTCCAAGAGTTGCTTGGATTATTGAACTCCTTTTTGGGGTTACCTTTGTTGTTACCACAGTGTTTTGACTGATCAGATTTCTGTAGAATGGATCAGCCAAAAAAGCTGTTGTAATAACGAAAGTAACACAAAGAATGAATTCAATACTATAAGCAACTCTTAGAACAATACACATGTTTTCAAATCTTCTATAGATAAAATTACTCTCACCTGCATGTGATTGAACCATCAGTTGTATATAATCCAGGTAAATGTTTCTAATCCTGAAGCACAATTTTAAATGTTTCAATTACAAAGAAAAGAGTATTGAACTGTTACTTAATATCTTTATCTGCTTCCTATATGGCAGTGAATGCTGGACAATCTCCTCACAGATAAAGAAGAAACTTGAAGCAACAGAAATATGGTTCTACAGAAGGATGCTGAGAATACCAGGGACCAAACATCTGAGCAACTCAAAGTTTTAGAGAAAATCAAAACAAAAAGGATGCTTATACTTAGCATCAGGAAGACATAGTTGAAATTTTTAGGGTGCATAATGAGGAAAGAATGCTTAGAAAATATGATTCTCACAGGGCAGATTGAAGTCAAAAGGGACAGATGAAAACAATGCATATCTAATCTAGCAAGCTTCAGTATGGTAGAGCATTGTTTAGGAGAGATAACAAAAAGACAGTATTAAAACATACAAAGGATAGAATGTTGTGGAGAACCATAATTGCTAACATAGAAGATTGAGTTTAGCTATTGTTAATATTTGTCTCAAGCTCAAAGCAGAGTTAACTTGAAGAATGTTATGCAATGTACACTTGCTATGCCTGGCATGGGAACAGTAATATTGGCATTGGAATGTCTGAGAATGGAGTACAAAAAAAATGTAGATGGAGGAAGAACAAGAAATGCTAGCCTGGGATTTGGTTCAGCTTCTTTATTTCCACCTTACATAAAAAATGGCATACAAAGAGAAGGCCTCCAGTTCTGTGCATTAGTTTGTCTATCAGGTGAGCAGTTACTTGAACTTGCTGATTTCAGTGCAAACATGATCACCCAAGAAAAGAAAAAATGATGTTAGTCATTGCTTAAAAAAAAAAAAAAAATGACTCTGAAATATTTGTAGTAGTATTAATGTAATGTCTTTTTTTAGGTTTGAGGAAAGATAGCAATACAAAAAAAAATTATAACCTACATGGGAGAGAAAATTGTGGAGAGCCATGATCACAAATGTCCTGAAGGGACATGACACATAGAAGAAGAATGTTTACATTGAATATGTGGGTAGTGTAATGGATATCAATACAGAAAGTGTATCCAAGTTCAATTCCTGGTTAGTCTGTTTGTTTTCACATAAATGGCTTTGGGAAAGGCAAAAATGTATCTCTTTCCTCCCTGCCATCATTTATGAGTTCAGTAGCAAGATGGACTGGGCTTTGGGCGGCAAGCAGTCTCAGAGATGGAAAACTGTGAATCCAAAACCATAAAGAAAACACTGGGAAACCACACCATTATCTTTACCAAGACTGTGTAGTTATTCACATATAACAGAGAAAAGGAGACCTATAATTTAAATCCTTTGAGGAAGGCCAAAAGGAAAAGATCATCACATCCTTCTTAAAGATTAAGGAATTTAGCACCCAGTTTAAAATATCAAATGCCAAAGATTTGATTAAAGGCTCATGACTCTGTCTTTGGTTAGGGTAGTTTCAAAATAATTGCCTAGGTAGTACCTCTTCTTCAGGAAGGGGCTGGTGTCATTACTTGGCACCTGAAGCATCCCCAAATGGGGGAAGTGCTGATGGGGTTTGAGCAATTTTTCCTTGGTGTTGCCAGTAAGCACACTTTAAACTGACCTTGTATCACATTCAGTTGCAATGTGTGCACACTGAAAAATAACATATTGCATTCAAACACCAGTTCTCATATGATCACTGAAGTTAAGCAGTGTCAAGCCTGGTCAGTACCTAGATGGGTGAATATTTGGGAATACCAGATGCTGTAAGCTTGGATATGCAGGTGGGGTAATGGATAACAGCTGGAATTGGAAATTGGAGAGCCGAGTTCCAATTCCAGTCGAGCTAGTTATATTCACTCATGTGCCCTTGGGAAAGATATTAATCCACATCTTCTTCCCCCTAGCTATGGGTTAATTACTAGGACTTGTATCAGTAAACCATTATTATGCTTTCTGGCTTTAAATAATCTGCAAAAGGTTGATAAACTGTAAAAACAAATCAATCAAAGGCTTGATTAGACATGGAAGCTATGTGCTTGATGTCTCTAGCTTTTTAAAAAAAAATATTTTTTAAATATAAAAGTAATTCATACATTATTCTTCTGTTAACGTAAGGCATACCTGGCTACCTTTCAAGGGGTATTAGTCCTCCTGGATGAACCGGTTGAAAAACATTGGATTAGTTCATGAATTTGGTACCATGTTAGATGTGAGTTCAATCTCTTGATCAGGTAGTACTCATTAGAAATAGGCCTCCTGGTAATAAAAACAGTATTATAAAAGAACAAACTGCTGTATTCTTAGACATAGACAGTGGAAGGAAAACAATCTACACCCATAGATTAAATATAGGATACAGTTGAAAACTCCTTAAATCTTAACCAGATCAGCAGATATGGAGAGAAGGTCGGGGAACACAGCAGCCGAAACATTGTGATAACAAAGATGAAGATGTTAGTCTGACTGTAAATAATAGACTGTTTGATTTTAAATGTTAAATATTCTTTAAGATTTTGTGAATAAAACATTAAAAAAAAAAAATATATTTTAAAATTGAAAATTTGAATGTGACAGATTTGTAGCATTAAATCTCTCAACATCGCTTGATTCTTTTTACACACAACTGTGATCTAAATGCTAAGGGGGTTACCACTCTCAAAGCAGAAAATGTAAGTATTCAAATAACTAATCAATTTAATTATAAAACCTATGAAAAAATTATTTATAAAGATTGCAAAATTCCAGATTAGAAATGAATAAACAAAACATTTCTTTTAAAAATGTGCCAAATATTCAAATTAATTATCTATATTAATCATAAAATGCTAAATTGGTCATGGTATAAGATATATGCTGCAAGATATAAATAATAAAACTACATTTATCTGAGGTGACAGTTTTATATAATATTTGTACGCACTCAAAAAACTTCATATTTGTTCTTAGGTTTGAGAAGAAGTAAACACAAAAATTGAGGTTTATAGTCCCACCACCCCTGATCTTTACAACTGAGACCCTCCATGCCACATACACAAAAGCTAATCATCCACATTCCCTTTGCATTCCTATAGTAAGAAATAAATTTCATTTGAACTGCTTCTTCCAAGGAACTGCTGCTTTATGGAACAGGCTCCCAACAGGATGTTTTCCCGACCACTACAATTTTGACCTCTTCAAGTTTTGAGTTAACCATTATATTTCCTGCATAGCCCCATCAACTCCACTTGTTGCTCTTTCTTATGCTCATATGACACCACAAAGGAACCATCTGCCTTGAGTGACTCTTGGGACTTGTATTGGGTGAACATTAGGATAATATATATATTGTAATGAGCATGCGTGGAAACGTCCTCGAACTGCGTGTGTGTGTTGTCGCCGGGCACACCTTGGAGTACCATAATGGACTCGACCGAGGACTACAAGAAGAAGACGCGCAAGTCATTTAGTGTCTTTTCTTGGGCGACACAAGCCGTTGCGGTCGGTTGTCCGTCGGCAGCAGTCTTGGGTGCCATTTTGTTCGTTTGCTGTCGTAAAGTGTTCGTTCGCAAGAAGGCGTTCGTTTTTATGTCACATTCATTTCAGGTTCGCAAGAAGGCGTTCGTTTTTGTGTTGCAAGAAGGCGTTCGTTTTTGTGTCGCAAGAAGGCGTTCGTTTTTGTGTCGCAAGAAGGCGTTTGTTTTTGTGTCGCAAGTAGGCATTTGTTTTTGTGTCGCAAGAAGTTTTTTTTTTTTTCCCCCCCATTTTCCTGCACATACATATATATATATATATATATATATATAAGAAGTAATGTATTTTTTTTATTAATCCAATAAATTTTATCACTTTAAACATTATTTTTAGTGGATACTCATATTTGAGTAGACACTCCATTTATTTCTTAAGCAGAATATTTCATAATTTTCATCTACCAACCTGAATATTATGAATAATGCCTGAATACCGGACTTATAAGATTTTGCAAATATTAAGGCCATTAAAAAATAAATATACTGATTAATGAGTAAATGGAACATCTACTCAAATATGAGTATCCGCGAAAACTAAAATTTAAAGTGAAAAAAATGTGTGTGTGTATATATATATATATATATATATATATAGTAGTGTTAATATTGGTATTATTAGTTACTAAGTTATTTGTAAGCTAGTCATATAATTTATGTAAATTGCACTTAATCTTATAAGTGATATCAAAGTTTTAATATAATGTCATGCATCGAAAAGAAACAGACAAAAAAGAAATATATAAAAATGCTTACCATTTCTGCAGACAGTTACTTCTGTCTGTATTTATGAATTTTTCTAATTACAATTCTTTATTTAAATTAAAGAATGTCACTTGTGCAAGGTGTCTGTCTACTTTTGAAATTGTGCTTTCTGCTTTATGAAAATCACGATATTATAATGTTGCTTGTTCTTTCATAAGTTTGCACATGCACTCTGCCATTACCTCAAATAAATAATGAACATTTCCGTTTTGATTGTAACAAAAAGATATAGCAGAGATACTGTGCGAGGAAAAGAAAGCATGCATAATAAGTAGAACACAGAAAATAGAGGACGCAATAATACTCTCATATGTTTAATGTCTGCTTCAGTAAAATGGAAAACCTTCTCGATTTTATTTGTACTCTCTTACTTCTTTAAATAATATCTGTACACCTGTCTGCTAGGGCGGCTTGCCAAATCCTGTTGTAGAAGCCTGCTCAGGCACATTTGTGTTTTATTCAACACCCACAGAGCCCACCTGTGGTTTATACTGCAACTATGATGAGTGGACCTTTCAGTTTCTGGGAGCAAGTACATAATTTGGCAGCATGATCAACAATTTGGTCAGTTGGTTCATACCATCAGTCATGAAGGCTTGTAACTTTCTGCTTACACAAACAATGACAGGATTCTTTGTTCAGCCCATGGTTTTCAAGCACTTTCCAAAGGTGTCACAAACTCAGATGACCTATCTAGACCGATATTAAAAAAGTACCTTTCTGGCAAATCAACCATTTTTGCTGTTGGAAGTCTTCAAGTGATGTGTATTATTTGGTAAAGTTTTTTGGGATTCCATTGCACAAGTCTATGAGATCTAATGGAAAATAGTCTTCTTTAAGATCTACAGGGCTCATTCACTCAAAGCTCTTTTTAATTATGGATCTCAGAAAATGATTTTATATACCTGATCATTTAAACATTTCTTAACAAGTTGGATGCTATGCATGACATCCACATGAGAGTCTAGATCTGACAAGGCTATTTAAAAACATAACTCGTGTTCTTAGATTAATGTTTTGCTTTTGTAGTATCTTGTGGTGTTGAACAAAACTACCCCAGTGCAACCTGTCCTATATTTAATTTCTTTATTTCCGATATTAAATTTGCTACAACTGATCCATAGGCTGAGATATTTGGAATATTTAAAATTCCACTTTCTGACTTATTATGATGGCTCCAGGATAGGTGCCATCACCACTTCCATTCCACTTCCAAATCGCAGTTTCTGCTTTAGAATGGTTTATCATCAGTAATCTATTTATAGTGCATTTTTATTGTAGACCTCCCTTTGCAGTGCACTTTCTTGGAAAATCATTTCCTTTGCATTTCCCCAGCAAAATAAAAATTGCAATAGATTTTTATTTTTCAATAATAATTGACTCTTGACTTAAGGAGGTTAAGATTTTAGTGTTCTAGGAAAAATTCATTACTCAAAATAGCAGTTCTTGGGCAAAATGTTGAGTGCAATTTCCAACCTTATAAAAAGGAACAGAGAGGAAATGAGGAGTATTCAACTCCATGGATGTGCTTCCTGCAAAGGCCTGAACTGCTAGAAGGAGAGAATAGAACTCATCTGAGCATTTGCCATGGAAATAGTTACAGAGTAAGAATAGGATTGTGAAAACCATCTTTTTTCATTATGTCTTCCTTTCTGATTGTAAGTATAAGTTTCGTTGTTCCTATTTTCCTCATTGACCACATGTTCTCTCTGTGGCATTCTCAGCTTTCCTCAGTTGAGCCACATCACATCTCTTCTTCATCTGTAAGCAGACTCTCCAGTTTTCATAGCTATATAGGAGATTAGATATTACATAGCAGTTCATCATTATTTTCTTTGTTTTTAATGATATTTTTCCTATGTCTAAAAAGGCTTTATTTTAATTATTAGTGATTTGATCAGTAGCTAAACAAGTAAAACCATAAAGGTATGCTGGCAAGAAGTTAGAGATACTTAAAAAATACCTTCAGTCAAGAGTTGCTGTGTTTTTTTGGCATAGTTTACTTGTTGGGTCAGCAAATGGTAGTAAATGGACTGCTCGGAAGCATATTTTCACAACAATTGACTTTGCCAGCCAACTCGCCTAATTTTGGCACCAAAAATGAATATGAATATCCAGATGAAACACTTCCATTTATAAGGTGGTCATCTGACCACATCAAAGTGTTCCTTGAAGTCTTTGATCTAAATGGCCGAGAACTCAGTTTCATCCATAAAAATAGATTCTCCTCACAATATAAATAAACCATGTGCCTACTCAGTTATGAATGTCCTCTAAATGTTTAAAAAGTGATAAAAATCTGTCAGCTTAATAAATTTAAAAAATTCATTACTTTACGTTTCGGATACGAAATTTCAAGAATCTAGAATGAGAAGGACTGTTCTTGAGGGGCAATATTTGGCCTTGCTTGATTGGCAATGCCCTTCGTGGCTGAGTTAAAACTACATCAGATCTAACAACTGTTTTTCCTGCAAAGGGGAACGCAAGCTCAAATTGT